GAGCCACAAGTGGGCGCAGCGGGCGCATCCGGGAGCCGGCGCTCCGGACACACCCATCCGAGGCCACTCGCGCGCGCCTCCCACCAGCCACTCACGAACACTCAAGGGCGCACTCCGGAGCGCACAGGCACCTCCACATGGCCACGAAGGAGCCCAGAAACCTGATGCCAGCGAGGTGCTTCGAGAATCACCGAATCCATCGCAATGCCTGCAAGCAGGACCAAACCTCAGCCCACAGAGGACGGACAGCCTTCGTCCAGGAGGCCTGCCGCCAGGACTTCCTGAAACCCCCTGAGCTACTTCTTCAGAAAGGAGTAAATCCCGCTTCTAAGAGGCCCTTCGCGCCTAGCTGAGGGCTCCAAGCTGTTACAGGGGCTCCAGAAGGCCGCCCCCAACGCTTTGCAGGATTTCTTTTAGTCCACAGGCCAAATACAGGCGTCTTTTAGCCTCAGCCCCTCTTCCGGCCAGAAAGTGCCGGGCCTTGTCCTCTGTACAAAGTCCATTTAGAGACGCAATGGACACCCAGCGCCTGGCGTGACCTCGGTGCACTCTGCTCCCAGGAGCGGCTGGTCAGGGCCAGTCAGACCCTCAGACAGGTGCCGGGACACCCACGCTCCCTCCTACTGAGTGGGCTTGGTTAGTTTACAAAATCCTCCAGCGGCTGGCCTGTAGCTTAGTTGATTAGAGCGTCCTCCAGGTAGGCCAACGTTTCGGATTTGATTCCATCCCTGGTCAGGGCACATACAAGAATCAACCACCGAATGCATAAATGTGTGGGGCAACAATTCGACCTCTCTCTCTCTCTCTCAAAATTACACACACTTCAACAGCTGATAGCTCAATTTAGAAAATAAAATGTATTATAATAAACACTGCTTTTATAATTATTCAAAGTGTGTGTATACATTTTTAGGTACATCTCTCACACACACACACACACACACACATCAATAAAATAAAAACTTTGAAAAACACTCCAAAGTCATTCTGAGCTAAATCTCAAATAAGCTATGACACCAGATTTGGAGAAGAATTCTCCATGTCAGTGCAGCCCGGAGGATAAAGGGAGGAAGTGAGTGCTCCTGGGTACCAACGGGAAGACCTCAGGCTCCGAAATAAAAAGCTCTGCCTTCTGCTCCTGCTCCTGCTCCTGCTCTTGACCCGAGCAGCTCTGTGACTCGGGCAGGTCTCCTGCTCCAGCCCTCCCCATGTGCAGCATGCACTTGGCCGGGCCTGCAGAAGAGCCCCCCCAACCCCCCCTACCCCTGACAG